TATTACAATAGAGATTTAATGCAGTAAGTATTACAATAGGCTTTGAGTGTCTTAAAGTATATAAAACATCTGAAATTTCAATCTGTTGTTTATTATTATTGCAAAGAAATAAAGACCTCAACTTTGGTTTTTAGGCATTTAGACCTAGCGCATTTCCACGTGTGCCAGAGTTCTCATTTTCTTCCTTAAGATCTGTTTTCTCGGGGCTCTGTGGGTTTACAGTCATTACCACATAAATCACAGAGAGCATCTAATACAAAACAAAAACCTTCAACAGTCACATTCGGTTACGTTCCAGAGGTTTGACCTTTATCCAATACATTTCACAGAAGTCAAATGAAGCCATCCAGATGTTCACGCAAACAAAACCTATCTTCCTCACCTCTAAATGTGGCTCTAAAAACAACCTGGAAAATGACTAAGAATTTGGAGTTACAGCCCTTACAAGAACTGCACTCCCACTGAGATCAAAGCAGCATGCCACTGCTCCAAGACTGAGCCCTGAATTACTGCTTTTCAACACAAATCCTCACAACTAATTGGGAAACAACAGTCAAGTGAGTTACAACGTCCCAAAGGAGAAGGATGAGCACACGTGCTCCGCAGACATGGGTGGGTGTCACCAGGAGTGCCACTCTTAGGTGCAGGTGCAAAAAGGTAACTGAGCGCAAGGTCAAAGGAGACACATCTCTATTCAGTAAATGCGTGACTCTCATGCAAATCTAGAATGAAGAAGTGCCAAAGATTTGGTTTAACTTGTGAAATACTGCAAGAACCAGTAGTAAGTTACATTCGGTTCAGAGAGGAAACCCAAATACAAATATGAAGGAATGCTAGGATGCAGTTACAAACAGATGCAAAGCGGTCTATTCACGGGGTCTGCATCAATTGCATTCCATGGGACACAGTCATCTGCATTTCCATGGACAAGAATCGTCTGCATTATCATCAGCCTTCTACCATTTACAGAGAAAGAGAACAGCTCAAAGATGACGGACAATGGAGGTGACCTGGAAGAGCGCCACACAGAGTCCATCCAGTCATCTCTCACCTGCCCACTTGGAAGTCTTTTACAATTTTTACTGGCTTTAATAATCACATTTTAATACTGAACTTTCAAAAATTAATTGTGACATGCTCGACATTTTCCTTCTATTGTTTACCATTCATTCATTCAACAAATCCTCGTGTGCTGACCACCAACGTTCCGTACATGATCTTAGAAGCTACCCATTTTTTAGTTTGAATACATCAAGACATGCCTTTATATTGAGAGACCAACCCAATTTTACTGTTTTGTTTTCGTTTGGTCTTGCATATGTGAATGCAAGGCACAGAAGAGAGATTGGCAAACCATGGCAAATGGGCAAATCCAGCCCAGCACCTGTTTCTGCATCACCAGTGAGCGGAGAACGGTTCTTACATTTTTAACTGGTTGGGGAAAAGTAATGAAATGTCATGATGTGAAATTCTATGCAATTCAAATTTCAGTGTCCATGAATAAAGTTTTATTGGACCACAGGCACATTCCTTGGTTTACGTATTATCCATCACTGACTTCACGCTACAGTGGACGACTTGAGGAGTTGCCACAGAGACTTAATGGGCTACAAAGATGAAAATACTTACTATCTGGTCTTTTACAGAAATTGTATATGATGAGAATTAGGGTTCCTTACATATAGAGTTTCTTGAAAGGTGTTTGGTGCATACCACATGCTCAATAAACTGTATGTTTGTTTTCCTTCATATAATAAAGCAAAACTACTGAGACTTAGGACTGTGTTCTTAAATTCTTTTCTAACTCTCAAAATGCACAGATCAGGGTTTCTCAGCCTCCCTCGGCCCCGGTGAACTTGGAGCCAGAAAACTCTTCACCGTGAGGGTGTCCTGTGCATTGTAGTTTTTTGTCACCACCCCGACCTCCACCCGTGAGATGCTAGTAGGTTCCCACCACTGACAGTGACAACCAAAAATGCCTCCTGCCGTTGCTCAGTGTCCCCCTTGGGAACAGCATGGCCCCAGGTTAAGAAGCACTGGCCTAAAGGGATGCTGGGCAGGAAGTCGCTGCCCTCCGTCATCTAAGCCCCTGACTTCACAGTGCTGCCTTCACTACAGGAGAAAGGCGTTGATTTTCCTAATTCATCATACATCATCGTGTTAAGAGGCACAGACACGAAATGGATCGTAACTTTCTTCCTGAAGGTACTAGGGTCATGACGTCCTTTGGGGGGAGAAAAAAATGTAATGAACAGGTTTCACTCATGGATTCATTTACAAATAGCTGTTGGCAACTACTCTGTGCCAAACAGCGTTCTACACTCTGAAGAGACCGCAATGAACAAGGAGTACGAAGTCAGTGCCCCCAGGAGCTCGCTTTCTGGTGAAGGAGGCAGACTCTCAGAGATAAAGGACTAAGTCAGTAATGTTGTGCGGGGGGTCATGGGGATGATGACGCATGTAAGAGGGTGGGAGGGGGATCTGGGAAGGCAAGGCTGAGGTGACAACTGTGCTGAGACGTGAACGGGTGGGGGGAGTGGCGGTGAGCAGGACAACTCTGCGGAAGGCGCCTTCTGGGTAGAGGAAAAAGCAGCCTTGACAGGGCAGAGACAAGGAGAAGAGTGGACATGGAGCACAGGCGGACAAGACAGGACCGATGCCTCAGACTGAGAAAGACGGGAAGATATTAAAAGATGTGAGGCGGATCGCAGCAGGAATCAGCTAATGTGTTCAAAGGGTCTTGCCAGCATCCCCATGGGTAGAGTTGAAGCTGAGAGACCCAAGAGGATGCTCCTGGATTGGTCCAGGCAAGAGATGATGGCAGACTGGACATGGGAGGCAGTCAGATGGGAAGAAGAGACTCTATTCTGGAGGATTCTGAAGGTGATGGGCTTTGCAAACTTCACCAAGGCTAATTAAAAAGTCCTATAAAATGCTATGTAACATATATTCAGAAAACATGCACTTTAACATACATTCAGAAAACTGTATCATCAACATTGCTTCTTGATTTGATGGTTTGTTCTTTCACTTCACTGACGCAGTCTTCTCACTGATTTTCCAAGTTGTTGATCTCTCTACAACACAGCGTAGGGGGCGTCATTCTAAACTGGAGTTCACCTCCAGCAGTCTGCTGAGTGACTCCAGGACCAGTGTCAAATGTGTATGTGCCTGAATTTCCCCATCTGTAAAATGGAGTTACCATCGCTCACCACTCACCCAATTAACCTAAAGATCAAGAGGAAAAGCCTGCAAAAAAGCTTCACAAATCTCCAAGCAAATACAAACTCGAATTACCTACAAATATATCCAGTATGGATAATGTCCAAAGGAGATAAACTGTGATTAACATGTAAGATTCATTCCCGAAGACCCAGGCTAAAGACAACCTTTAAATTTATGTCAGTTTTGTAAAATATTCCAGAGTCTCTCTTGCAGTTAGCTGTGACTTATTGATTCACTTTTGCTTTCAGGCAAAAGGAATTGATTCCTTTTCTTGTGAAATTCAGTCTCTCATGTCAGCCTGGATCATTCAATTATAAAATACGGTTTCACAATCTGTATTCCCTAGAGCTGCAATTTCCTTTAATTAGGATATTCTATAAAAGCAGTTCCAATGAACCTCTTTCCATTCACATTTCAAGTGCGCAAAACAGGATTAGTTAATTTCTTGCTGGGCCAGGACAAAGGGATGCTTATGACAAGTAACACTGATATAACAAATTACCATCCATGTAACATCCAACTAACTAAACTGCACAGAAACACTACTCATGAAATTTAGTCAGCCTTATAGTCCTACATACACATATATGTGTCCTTTCCTGCAGCGATGACCCAAATAAATTACCCAAACATCAGATGAACAATGTAACAGATACCAGAAAATGCCTTATCAGAGCAAACGCCTATATATTATATAAAAAGAGCAAAAGGATCATAAACCAGACATTTTGTCTCTGCCCAGGATCTAAAGAGCCAGAACTGAGCAAAACTTATTTTCACCAAGTTATTTCACATTCACATAATAATTCTGTTCTGTTTTTAGTAACAGTCATGTGGATTAAATGACACAACACATGCATAAATGTCAGAATGTATCACTGCGATAAAGTTCTAGGTTGAAGAACGTTTTTTCTACAATTATCTACTTTGAGATAATGTGAAAGATCTTTCAAAATAAGGTCCTTCATACATATGCTATTTCATATATTGTGTATGAACACTCTGATGAAATTTTGGTTGTAAAATAAAGGAATGCTTCAATTTTCAGTTCAATAGAAATATCCATGAAGGGAATCTCATCAGACACCGTTAAGATCCCCAAGTGCTCCAATATTCATAGCAAGTTTAAACTTTATTCACTTATATAATCTGAATATAAAACCTACTTCGGACTAGAGCTACACACACACACACACTTTTTAAGTGTTTTGGTGTTTGGGGACTGAGGTAAGAAATTTATGCTACTAAGTATACGAATAAATATAGTGACTACTTTAGAGCATGCATATGCAACAAGAAATAGTCAAAATGGAAAAGAAACTGCTTAAAGAATCAAATTATTTAACCAGCAATTCCTACACACAAACAAAATAAACATACAAAATAACTCACGTGTAAGCAGACTGCACTAAACCTTCTAGTCTAACCAGAAGATGTTTTCTCCTTAGAAAATTTTTAATTAAAAAAATTACAGAATAAGGAGAGAAACAAGGGAGGGTATGGAAATAATGATACATGTAGCCTGACTGCAGTGCTGGTTACACGAACTGAACCTACACATGTGGTAAAACCTCACAGAACTATCTACATACATTATACCAATCTCAATCTTTGCTTTTGATACTGTTCCACAAATACATAAAGTGTAACCCCTGCTGGGAACGGGGTGAAGAGTGCATGTGATTTCTCTGTACTAACTTTGCAACTTCCTGTGACTCTATAGTTGCTCCAAAATTAAAAGATTTTTAAAATACTGACAGTTGTAGGGAACATACCTTAGAACATTGCTTGTGATTCTGGCACCAAACCAGGGAACCATTGTTCTGCAAAAAGAAAGAGAAATATATCGACTCAATTTTCTATTTGAAAACTATATACCCCCATGTGTATGAACATAATTTTAAAATATTTGCATTAAGGAAAGGTTGATTTTGCCATCCTGATATGTCTTTGTTCCTAAAATAGAAAATGTGCTTCTAATGGAAGAGTTTGAGGCTGGAAGTCAGATCCCATGGGAAAGGCTTCTCTTTCCCTTTCCCTGGATGTGTGACTCTGGACAAGGGACTCAGCAGCCCTGTGCCTCAGTTCATCCGTCTGTAAACATAATGACACTATCTCCTGCATGGGGTCAGTAGGATAACAAAGTGGGAGAATATTATGCAGACCATTTAGCACAGCTTGACAGTTAGTCAACATGTACCACGTACGAGGGCTATGACTCATTAGCCAAGTACTGAATTTCTGCATGAAACTTGTCGCCCCATGACTAAAACTTTGGTGATGGGTGGGCTGTCATGTATTACATCAGACTGTGCAAGGACGGGGTGGTTAGTCGAGATAGTAGAAACCGTCACCCCATAATTAAATGTTGTAGCCTCCTGTTTTTTTGAAGTTTGAGGTTGAGTATGAGATAAAGTAGTCCGTTTCCCATGTTTGAACACCTACATTTCCTTTTTTTTTTTTAATTGAAGTAGTCAGTTACATTGTGTCAATTTCTGGATATAGTACAATGCCCCAGTCTTGCATATACATACCTGTATTTGTTTTCATATTTTTTTTCCATTAAAGGCAATTACAAGATTCTGAGCATAGTTCCCTGTGCTATATACAAGAAACTTTTTAAAATCTATTTTTACATATAGTGGCTAACATAAACTTTCAGTTTTAAGAATATCAGCAGCTTTGTTTGCAGTTAAGGAAAAAGAATGTTCAACCTACAATATATCTGCTTAAAAGTATTCCTGTAAGAAGTTAATTGATACATAAATCACATACACAAAAGTCACAAGGGCCAGCTCCTGAAGAGCTTTTTCACTAAGGTCACAGTCTAAGGACCTTGTGCCTCCTTGAGTCAGGTCAGAGGGGCCTGCTCCTTGCTCTGGGGCAGCTTCCACCTTTTCACTTCCAGGTCTTTCTCTCCCTGGACGATGGCCAGGAGCTCTGGAGGTCCCCCTCTGCTGCACTGCTCCTGAGAGATGCACCGTACCCCCTCCTCCCACAGGATATATATATTTTCTTTGATCTGAGTCTTAGGTCCTGAAATAGAGTGTGGTCCAGGTGACAGGCTTCCCTGCTTCCTTTTTGCTTGAAAGTTTCACACTAGCATCAGGACCAGCTCCTGGTTGTCACAGAGATGGCCTCCAGCAAAGGCCACGCCAGGCTGACTGGGTCGGCAAAAGCAGGTGTGGCAACTGTGGACTGTCCCACAAGAGTGGTCAACAAAAATATGACTAATGGGCTCGTATGCCTTTGACAAGATTATTACCAATCAACATCCAAAGGTTGTATGACTGACCACATCTAGGTAGCAGGCACTTGCTGTGGTGTCTGACACACTCACCCCACAATCATCCCACATACGACACAAGCTTCGTGCACCCACTTTACACTAAGAAACTGGGAGTCAAAGAAGGCGACAGAAATGTGCACATCCCGGAGCTACTGGTTAACTCAACCGTCAGCACCACAACGAGGGACAGTGAGGGACACAATGGGCGAGAGTGACCGTGGGCTTCGAAGGCAGGTCTAGATTTATAATCATGGAAGGAGAGCAGGAATTGGTCCAGACCACCCTGAACACTGTAAGCTCAGGAAACAGCACATCCAGTGCACGAGCTGGGGTGGGGAGGAGGAGAGGAGACTGGCTAAATATGTAGAAAGCAGCTTACAGTGGATTTTGACTTATCATTGGAAATTCTTTTTTTTTTTTTTTTTTTTTTTTTTTTTTAGTAAATGTCAGGGAGTTAAAAAGAAAAACAGAGGATGGGAGCTGTGAGCAGCTCTGTACAAGGCACACCTTGGGTAACTGCCTTTTGTTCCCTTGGTAGATAAAATGGCCAAACCTCAACAGCAAAAACACAACGAATCCAGCGAAGCCTGCCTTCGGTGACCCAGCAAGTGCAAACGGTCCTGTCCACCCCACCCTGAATCACAGAGCTCCCCGTCCTGCTCAGACACCCTCCACACCATGGAGAAACCAATACCCACGAAGCCGGTCTGCTGTTTACATTTTACTGGGAATTAATACCATTGCATTTCCACAACCGAAGCAATTTCATTTTAAGCAAAATTTCCCATTAATCATAAAATGAAAAGCTGTCCTTAGAAAGAAATCTTTGGGACAACAGCAAGCAGGCTTGTGAGATGATTATGATTGTAATCGTTTCTGGTTTTATTACTGAAGATAGTATGCTAGAGCTTGCTTGGGAAGATTAAAAAGATAATCCACGTAAAGTATTTAGGAAAATGTTTGGCACAGAGTTAGATGTCAAAAAAAAAAAGGCCATTGTGGTTATTGATGTTACTGCATTTGCCATTATCAATATTTTGAGGAGTAGGGGGGATTCCCGGACTGAAAATCTCCCAGCTCTTCTGTGCGGCACTCAACCGGCTCAATCTTATCAGTGCAGCTCAAAGGAGCGGTGGGGGTGGGGGTGAGGGTCACGCTTTTTCCCCAGGCTGGTGGCCGTCTTCCTGCGTTTGCCAGCGTGCTGGGGGGCAATGGTAGTATCTGCGCTGTAACCGTCTTTGATTGGCCACCTGTACTTCCTTTCCAGTGAACTGTCTATGCATTTTATCATCTCTATTTTGGATAGTTAACCCTTTTCCTAGCAACTGTAGCAATTACTAGTACCAATCACGTTTCATAGTCATTTGGTCTGTAACTGGCGCTGTAAAATTTTTCCAGTGCATCATTTGTCTTTGAATTTACTCATGGAGTTTTCTCTACACACACACACACACGTTTTCCCAAATGTGTCTCTATTTCCTTTTTGAGGTCGGGCTTTCCTACTTTCTTTAAAACAATCCCCCCAACGTCAAGGTTTTTCAGCTGTTCTTTCTCTGCTTTTGCTTTTGTCAATCAGCATCTCTGCTCTGCAATCTGATTTGTCTCTACAAAGGACTTCTAAGAACCCGGCCTGTTGGCCCCAAAGATGTCTGTAAACCCTCGATTAACTCCGGCCACTGTGTTTCGGCCAGGTGTGCATATACATTGCACCATCCACCTATGTTGCTCACCTGGAATGCTCTTTGAGCAGGAGAGCCATGGAAAAATACAAGAATCCAGTACGTTTCAACATCTCGCCTGGGGGAAGTTGTTGGTCAGATGACAATAGCCTTCACCAGTTAAGTCACTTGACAACAAAAATAAAACACATAGTATGTGCAATAAAGTCTCGCTCTGGCTTAACGCCAGCAAAATAAAGAGACAAAGTACATTAGGCATGAAAGATGTTTGCCTCTTGAATCATCATCGTAACCTGCAGGTAGGATCAGACAGCGGGACTTTTGTAATTATAGAAAGATTACATCCTGTGTTTTATTGGTTTAACCAGATCAAACATGAATGCCAGTCAATCCAAGTTTCAAAGAGTTTATATAAGTTCAATAACTGCACCCAGACACTATTTCAATGCCGTTTTCAAAATCTCTCCATTTCTAGTCTTTTGATTTTTTTCCTTAAAGAAAAATAATTCTTCAAAAGCTTCAAGAAAAGAAAACACTTCACTCAAAGACAACCCACAGGGGAAGGATAAAGACAGATGAATATTAGTTATCAACATATAACCATCTGAAAAGCAAAAAAAAAGAATTAGAACAGATTTTACTGTTTGTTTTTTTTTAATGGAGGACCTGGGGATTGAACCCAGGGTCTCATGCATGCTAAACATGTTCTGAACCACTGAACTATACCCTCCACACTCCAAATTTACTTAAAAAAAAAAAATAAGCAGGTGATGGTATGGAACAGCCACAAGGACTAACCAGTCTGCAGTTTCGGAAACACAACATTGAACATGAACATGTTGTGTCCAACAGCAGGACAGAACATGTGACCTAAAACTGGTCCAGAAAACCCACAACAGACCTAAATTTTACAAATCAACCCTATGAAACCACAAATAATTAGTTGTGACTCTTAATCAATGATTGTTTTCATGTTACATGAAAGATTTTTAAAATGAAGGCATGGATTAAAGTTCAGGAGTTCATTTTAAACCAGAATACTTTCCTATTACTTTGGAATTGTGGAATAAAAGAGTTGATTTCAGTCATCACAACCATACATTCATCCAAATTATTTCTTAGGAAACTTAAGTGCATATTACTAACTGAAAGAAGCCAAGGTTACATATTGTATGATTCCAACTCTATGGCATTCTAGAAAAGGCAAAATTATGGAGACAGTAGAAGGACCAGTGGTTGCGGGGAGGGAGGGGTGGACAGGCAGAGCAGAGGATGTTTAAGGCAGTGAATCAACTCTGTCTGAAACTGTCATAGTGGATACGTCATTACATACTTGTCCAAACCCAGAGAATGTGTAAGAGTGAAACCTGATGCAGACAATGGACATGGGGTGATTACCACGTGTCAGTGAAGGTTCATCAGTGCAGCCAGTGGACCACTAGGAAGGGATGCTGCAGCCAATGGACCATTAGGAAGGGATGCTGCAGACAGTGGACCACTAGGAAGGGATGCTGCAGCCAATGGACCATTAGAAAGGGATGCTGCAGCCAATGGACCATTAGGAAGGGATGCTGCAGCCGATGGACCATTAGGAAGGGATGCTGCAGCCGATGGACCATTAGGAAGGGATGCTGCAGCCGATGGACCATTAGGAAGGGATGCTGCAGCCGATGGACCATTAGGAAGGGATGCTGCAGACAGCAGACCACTAGGAAGGGACGCTGATAATGGGGGAGACTGTGCATGTGTGAGGGCAGAGGGTTATGGAAACTTTGTATTTTCTGTTCAATTTGGCTATGAATCTAAAACTGCTCTAAAACAAGTTCTATGTAAAAGGGGGGTGGAAAAGCTATAT